GTCGTGTTGTGGGCGCAGTCCCGGCAGAGGCCGCCACCAACGCGCTCTCCGCCGACGCTGATGCTGCCGCGGCGTGCAGCGACGGCGGCGTCGTAGTCGCATGCGTCGGCATGGTCGTGACACTGACATCGCTCGCAGGGCCGACCCTCGAGGAACAGCTGCTGGTTGTAGAGTGGCAGACACGCGTCGCACAGCTCCCCGCTAGTGTTGCCGCCGCAGACACAGCGGAACACGCCCGTGCCCGCGTCCCGCTCGCATCCCAGCGCCACGCCGCTACACACGCACTCCGCCCACACCTGCAGCTCCCGCACGGCGTAGTGCTGGAACGCGTCGCCGGCGCCCCCTAGCGTCGCGTCGATGTCGTAGAAGCGCGCGCGCACGAAGCGTGTCGCCGACCAGCCAGGGACGTCGGCTGCCGTCTTGAAATCAAACAGTACCTGCTCGTTCTTACTCGCGGGCGTCACTCGCGCAAACTCCGTACAGATGACGCTGGTAGGGTTACGTGGTCGCGACAGCGCGCCGACGCCGAACGCGTTACGACAGTCGTCCTCCGCCGACACCTTGTACGCCCACGGCTGGAAGGTGGCGCCATCTAGCGACTTGTCGATGGCGACGCGGCCGGGTCGTCGGGCGTCGCCCATCAACAGGATTATTTCCTCGACCCGGAACTCCTGGTGAAGGTCAATTATGATGACAGTGTCGGCTTCCGGTGGTCGGAACCCTCTCTCGCGCAGACGCTCGCGCGACGCGCTCTGCCACCAGGTGTCGCCGCTGCCGTCGACCATGAGTTCTGGCGGGTGTGAGGATTGCGAGTCGGAAGCGTCGCAGACGTCCTCCATGCGTAACGACGAGCTGATGATGATCTCACTGTGAGGATAGAACGTTTCCGGCGCGTCGGCGCCGCACGTACCCTGAGCCGTGATTGGTCGGTTTAACGCCATGTTCACCGGGATGCTGCCGACGTCGCCGACAAGCGGCGCGACGACGACGACGGCGACGAGGAGGAACGAGGCGGCGACGTGCATGTTGGCTATGGTCGTTAGCGGTCGTCTGCTGGTTGTCGACGGTCGTCGTCTGTCTACGATGTTACTACTGCATTAACGTTGTCGTCGTTTTACGTTACCTATGTTGTACGTTACCTATGTTGTACGTTACCTATGTTGTACGTTTCCTATGTTGTACGTTACCTATGTTGTACGTTTCCTATGTTGTACGTTACCTATGTTGTACGTTTCCTATGGGTACGTTACCTATTTGCCTACGTTACATATGTTGTACGTTACCTATGTTGTACGGTTACCTATGTTGCTCGCTTACCTATGTTGCTACGTTACCTATGTTTGTACGTTTCCTATGTTGTACGTTACTATTGTTGGTACGTTACCTATGTTGTACGTTACCTATGTTGTACGTTACCTATGTTGTACGTTACCTATGTTGTACGTTACCTATGTTGTACGTTACCTATGTTGTACGTTAGCTTGCTTCGTGGTGTAGCATAGTTGACTTGATATCTCTTGTTATATGTCGCTGGGTGTCTCTTGGTTCGTACGCAACCGTGACGGACGAGACAACGTGTGGGTGACTATGTGGAGCCGTTCGTTCTGCGCGCTATTTTACCTTACAGGTCACGATGCTACCGTTTTATCACTCCAGACTCATGGTGAGCTTCTACACTGTTGTTCACCCTGGCTATCCCTGGCTTGGCTTACTCCCTGCTGTTCAACGTTGATGTTCCTTCTTCACTCTATCGAAAGATCTATATTGTGTCACGATGTACGTGGACGAGCGTGGATGTCATGCACATCTATCTTGTACGTATGATAGGGACACACGTCATCTAGTACTGGTTGTTGAATGCATGCTGATTCGATGAACCCGCCTCTACAGCTGCATGGTAATACACACAGTGCAAGAGATAGAGAGAGAGAAAGAGAGAGAGAGAGAGAGAGAGAGAGAGAGAGAGAGAGAGAGAGAGAGAGATGTCGTGAGCGAGGCTGTAACAAGAACACGGTGACATCTGCTGCCGCGGCTGGTGACGCATATTTTAGACACATATTGAATAAGCGCTGGTTGCGCGATCACCACCAACCTGTAACAGCTGGCGACCTGTGTACCTGCTGCCAATACTTCATAGGTAGCTTACCTGTATTTCTCACGCTATACATACCCCTGACCATTTCTAGATGGGCATTGTGAATAGATGGAAAACCGGTGGTAACTGAGTTAAGATGAGTGCACTACACGGGACGCTACAGTAGTGCACTACATGTAATGTACATGTTCATGGCCATCACAAGCTCTGATGGATTCGCAGAATTGGCAGATATTTCAGAAAACAATGAAAGGAATGGATCGTAGTCTCTTTAGAGGGAAAGCAGGAGTGAGAGGGCAGCCGCCCCTTGGATTTTAAAGAAAGGTTTAAAAATATCAATAAACAATATAAAAGTCTGTTAACTGTTAATAATCTAATAATAAATGTAAATCATCGTGTATCCATCCATCCAACACTCGCCCTACACCCACACCCACCCGCCCCGCCACACTACCCACCCGCCCGCCGCGTTGCCATGTTTAGCTGAATGGTTTGATGAAGAAAGCATTCTACTTACTGTGCATCGTCACAGATGGTAGCTGTTTCTATCACGACACTGCCATGGGAGGTAATTATACGTATTTATTCTATAGGCGGCTTTGCCACTGCATGGCACTGTTTGTGTAGATAATGGGATGTGAATTAATTACCATATTTTGCGTTGATTTACATTTTACGCTGCACTCTCCGACATTATTATTATAATTTATTATTATTATTGTTGTTGTTATCATCATCATCATCATCATCATCATTATTATTATTATTATTATTATTATTATTATTATTATTGTTGTTGTTATTCCGTCGCAGACAGAGCTGATGCGTATCTTTCAAACACGTATCTTTCAATCTTATTTTACACCCCGCACGGAGTCAGGAGTGCTTTACGTACTGTGACGTGTCCGACAATGATCTCAGCTTCTTATGTATGAATATCAAGAACCTACGTATAATGATGCATAGTTAGGTGTATATATGGTACTGTCGTGAAACGAAAAAAAGTCAATGAAATGTCATAAAAAATGTCAGCATGTGACGGAAAGGTTAATAACTAGTTGACTGTGAGATGAATAGAGTAATGCTGAAAACCCAACATCAACAACAACAGCAACAACAGCAGCAGTCACAACAGCAACAACAACAGCAACAACAACAACAACAACAACAACAACAACAACAACAACAACAACAACAACAACAACAACAACAACAACAACAACAGCAACAACAACAGCAACAACAGCAGCAACAACAACAGCAACAACAGCAGCAGTAACAACAGCAACAACAACAGCAACAATAACAACAACAACAGCAACAGCAGCAGCAGAAGGAGCAGCAGCAGCAGCAGTCGCTGCACGCATACATGTACGAGTAGATTGCTGGGCCGCACGAACGATAAATACCACAGCCGCCATGACAAATCATCAATTAAACAATCAATCATCAGTTCACAACACAGCGACACTCAATCGATTACCGTACGAAGGGGCGGCACTGTGACGTGATCGAGTAGGAACTGCTATACTCACGGTGCGGTTATCGTGGTCACTGTATAGGGTCATTCATAGCGATTATTCAACTACCTTGTATATTATATGCACTATATACAGCTGCGCACTATATTATATACATACATACATGCATGCACGCACGCACAAAAAATTTATAAAGCATTTTATAACGCTTAAAGAGTATTTTGTCATACGTTTGCGTCGGTTTATTCGAATAAATTTTCTGTTTTTGTGACTATTTGTGTCTTTTTTTCTATTATGATATCTGCGATTGCAGTTAAAACCGTGTGTCATATAAGTCATTGTGTGTTGTATACACACGTTTATATATAATGAGAAAGAGTGGGGACGGAAGGAGGGATTGGGAAAGAGGGAGAGAGAAAGAAAGATAGATAGATAGGGGTAAGGAAGGTAGGAAGGAAGGAAGGAAGAAGAAGAAGAAGTAAGTAGTAGAGAGAGAGAGAGAGAGAGAGAGAGAGAGAGAGGCAAACAGTAGTTGTCATAATAGCTTATTTAGTCAAGTGCCATCGTTCACTATCAATCTACACAGGGGGTCTGCGACTCTGGTGTCGGAACCGATGAATGGAATCGGAGCTGGTACATTTTTTATGAATGATGATATGACAACCAATCAGAGAGCTCGAATATTACATCATCGTGAAACAACAAAGGGTAGCTAGTGGGTTTATGTAGTCTCACAACTGAACAGAGCTTCAGCGAAGTTTATCCGTGATTCTTGTGTTATTAGTTGCATAAAAGTATCTATAGGTTATTTTCTATACGAAAAGATATTTACGCTCCTGAATAAAACAGAGAAATACGCTATCATTCTCGATCGTACACGGCAGTCTCACGTATTGGGAAATCGGATTTTATCCGAATCCCTCTCAGTTCTCACAATGACATCATTTTCCCTGCTTCTGGTGGAGAGAGGCATTATGGTTCAGTTATGAGATTGGCTGCCAGACTCGAGTATTGATCCAAAACATACATTATCCGCCCAGTTTCTAGCTGTACGCGAACGCCGCTGCAGAATAGAGATGGACGTGTAATTTTGCCTGTTGGTTGACAATTCCGGGGGGTCAAAACACGAGGTGACACCGGGAGGGGGGTCGCAGCCTAGCAGGACATCCACGGTGTCGGTGAGACGGACGGGAGAAGGTCTCACGGCGTCGCTATCCGCGCCAGACAGACTGGCTCCGGTGACGGCCGTCTGTACGTCTGTCTGCCTCTCAGACGGCGGTTTGCCTTCGAGCGGTGTCGTCGGGATCAGCAGCTGCCGTGGGTACGATACAGTTCAGCATGTAGCGGAAGAACTGAACCACCAGAACTTTCTCAGTCGTCGCCGTTTGTGAGCGCCCCCTGGTGGTGCCGACCTGACGACCACGATGGGTACGGTTCTGTCGATCTCACCTCGTCCGACGAAACCGTTCTACGACGACTACGCGTCGCTAAGTAACCACAACTACGAGACACTGAACAACAACAAGAACAAGGAGAATGCGTCGAAGGGCATCAAAAAGCATTCTGTGTTCATTAACACGCTCAGCTGGCGACGTCTGAGCAGCTTTAAGAAAGAGAAGTCGGCATCGTCAACGTCTCTGTGTAAGATCAACGCGTGTCAGCAACAGCAGCAACACAATCAGATCGGCCCGGCGAGGTTGGACAACAATGACGGCAACGTCGTTGCCAATAACAACGAGAACAACAAGAACATCACGAACAACTTCTCAAAGTCTGTGTCGCTCTACAACCTCAAGTACCCCGTGCGAAGCTCCGACGTTGCCGACCACAAAAACAACAACCGCGTCGTCGCCGCAGCCGTCGAAAGGCCGACGACGAAGAAGACCGTCATCCAAGCGTCGACGTCGGAACTGCTGCGATGTCTCGGCGACTTTCTCACGCGACGCTGCTTTCGGTTGAAGGATTTTGAGACAGGCGACGCCGTGATGTGGCTGCGAAGCGTCGACCGGTCGCTGCTGCTGCAGGGCTGGCAAGACATCGCCTTCATCAACCCCGCCAACGTCGTGTTCGTCTACATGCTCGTGCGAGAACTCGTCAGTGAGGACATCAATAACGAGCGGGAGCTACAGGCAGTAGTGCTCACCTGTCTCTACCTCTCCTACTCTTACATGGGCAACGAGATCTCTTATCCGCTGAAGCCGTTCCTAGTGGACGACGATAGAGATCGGTTCTGGGATCGGTGTCTGATCGTGATCAACGACCTGAGTTCGTACATGCTGCGCATCAATGCAGATCCTTCGTTCTTCACAGAGGTGTTCAGCGAGTTGAAAGACTGCGGCACGCTAGTGTAACGCGACGCTAGTGTGTGCAGAGTAGGTGAGAGAGAAAGAGAGAGAGAGAGAGAGAGAGAGAGAGAGAGA